ATATTTCTAATTAATTGCACTACTAGAGAATGAAGGAAAAATTAAGTTACCTTCATGAGCATCGATTGAGATGGGGATATTTGAGGATGAGTTCTTAGCTGAATGGTAAACTGTAGGTTGGGGGGACTCTGAGCCCCGAAGAAGAGAGTTGACAGCATCTTTCACCTTATCCACCATACTCATATCACCAGAAGCTTTTCTTGGACTTATTGCTTGAGATATCACTTGAGAAAGTGCTCTGTCATCTTCTCCTGGCTCAAATTTGTGGATTATATACTCCTTCACTGAAACTCCTTTATCCCATTTTTGCTCCCCGGTTCTGAAATGGTAACCAGATGCTGCATCTGTTGGGGCTCGGGCTGGATCTGATGCAACTTGGTCTGGTGCTCCTTTGGTTGGTACTGCTACAGATGATGATGCTTTGCCTTCGCCCACAGGGTCTAATCCTGCTGCATCTGATGCTTCAGGGGTTGAATTAGCAAGGCTATGAATCTTGGAAGTTATGGCATGGGTGGCATCAGATACTGTGGCACATGCTGGTGCCAGCTTCTCTGCCATAATTTCGGATAATGTCTTGGAAAAGTTCTCATTTTCTCGTTTCCCGTTCACGGTTTCAGTTACTGGCTTGTCTTCAGCACAGGTCACACTACTAGGCAAAAGATGCTTCTCTGGTATCACAGGAACTGCTCTTGGATGCTGTCTAGCTGCCTCCGTGTACCCCTCAGGAGCCATCTCTGATTCGTACACTGAGAGATCATGTAGACAAGTTAATTAAATGCACATTCATTTAGGCAAATAATCCAAAGAAATTTTTCTCTCTTTAGATTTTATGGTGTTCCTACTTGGTGCTCCAAGATATTCAGTATCTTCTTCAGCTTCATCATTATCCAGGCTAACACCCCATGGAGGAGTGGTGTTACTGTCATCACTATGCTTCTTTTTTATGAGATTGCTTCGCCATTTCTTGGCCTTCTCCTTCACTTTAGCAATAACTGATTTCTTGTGAATGGGGGATTGATCATACTCCAGGTCATGGTCCTTCCAAAAAGTTGGTGAGGAGTGTGGTGACCACCTAGATACTTCCTCAGCTGCTCATGCAAACCTCATAGGTCAGAAGTGACAGGAACATGAATTTTCGTGACTTTGGTATCAATTAAAAGCATTTATTTTTCACAAACAAATTACGTTGTAAGCTAAATTAAAACACATATGTTATCAATTCTCAATATCTAAAGAAAGTGTTGATGTATGAACTTAACATAAACAAATCCTAAAATATTCTTAAGCTCCCGATAAGCAATAGCTCAACCACTTGTTATTCCCATTTCCTATTACACTCGAGTTCAAGCCTCCTTGGAGAAACAGAACCATTAACCCTTTCTTCTATCATGGAAGGTTATATCAGAGTTTATGCAATTACCTCGTAGAAGTTCTTCCACGGTTGGGCTGGTTGGAGTTCTAGGGCCGTTACCATGTCTGTGCCTGACTGCAATTGGAGCCATTGCTCCAGTACGTGATTGAGGGTGTGCCATCATTTTCTTCAGCGTTGCGTTTCTCCACAAATGTCCATCCTTTTTTCTGCATCTCTTATTACAGAGAGGGAAATTTAAGAGAACGGGGGACGCCCAAGCATCTCTTTCCCGGAGTTCTTGCACAGGCAGTGAACAAGAGCCGCATGTCATCTGTGGTAAAAGCCAAAAGGTAGAGAGACTTGTGGGCTCCAATTTTACATGTGGCAATAAGATAATGCAATTAAATTGATTGCAATTGTTTGTCACAAAAAGTAACCACCTGCTGAAATAGCAAGTTGACTAAGCCTGCATGAATGTTTCCCCTTTTGTAGTCTTATGGCTTCAAAGAGGTATTTCCTCTTGCATGGTCGCCTTGATCGACCACAGCAAAACACTAGCCACCATGGTCCATGGTTAAAAAATGCAGCCCGCCCGCCCGCCCTTTTTCCAGATCATAATCATATACAGAAGGCGACAACCATCCTAACCCTGACTATCGCCATCAATTTAGCTGCGCCCCGCTTTGTCTCCATTCTGACAAGGAAAACTTGCTACATTGTCTCGAACACACAAACTTTGGTTATAAGAGCGTGAGCATGAAATCCAAAACAATAACCAAAGCATGAAGAGATACAAAATTTATGAACAAGTAAATTCTTCGCATGTTAGACTTCTCTCATATCAAATTCACTTCAAATAAGCACAAGCTTCTATAGGAAAATAAAAATCACAACCAAATCTATATTTTTTTGTAGATTCTTCTCAAGCCTTTGGCTGTTTCTATTTAACTCAATTCAACTTTAATCCCAGATCGCTCGAGGTCTGGTGGAACTACATTGTGACCTTCCATCATATTTCTTGTCCAAGAAAAAAAAGTAATTGCCAATAAACGAAGGAAAAAAAAAAGTTTACATTACATGAAAATGTATGACCCTCATGAAACTTCCTTGTACCAAAAGCTAAAGATTGAAGGGGACAGCCAAACCAAAAAGAGAGTAAAAGAGCGAGGAAAAGCAGAAAGACAATGAACAAAAAAAATGATGGAATCTCATTACAATCTAAACTTTTTAGGGAATAAGTCAGTAATTCATCCATGAGATTTTTCTTTCCTTTTCTCCCTTCTCGAGAATCTCTGGATGTTCCCATATAATTTTTTTACCTCCAAGATGCTTTGACTATTTGGATCTCACTGTGTTGAATAATCGATGACTGTCTTCAGTGGCAGGGATGGAGTAAAATAAATGAGGGGGAAACGTGAGAAAAATACAAGGATGAAGGTGACAACTAAAATAAGCAAACTTTTGGAGGGGGTAATTGATATAAACCTTAGACATATGGGGTCAAAATAACTTTCGAAAAATAATAGAGGGGCGTGGGGGGTGTTGGGGATGGCTCGCACCCTGCCAAAAGGTGCAGCGCCCGCCTTGACTATTTTAGTAATTCATGGGACACACTGCATTTCATGGTTCTGCTTCTATTCTGATGGAGGGCAAATCTTAGAGCACAACAAACTAGTGGCTAGCAGTTTGCTTCACCGGCAGTGCATCATGTTATTTCTTCCTCCCATTCCCATAGTTCATCATACACAATCACCCATCCGCACTCTTTTGTATGGCTGGATCAAAAGAACAGACTTGAAATCTGTAACCTTGACTCATCCTTTCAGACAGTTGATTTGAGAACTGTCAAAAGTAAATCCATCATTATTTCATGCCCCGTACAATAATCAAAGCCAATTACGATCGCAGATTTGCGAAGTCCATTGTGCATTCTCAATAATATAGGAAAGAAGATACACTAAGTGGTTTAAAATGCAGCTTTATGGAAAATTTCTTACCATTTTTTCTCACCTAAAGAGCTGATCACTCCTGTATGCTAAAAGCAAACCAGGTAAAAAGTTCTGTCAGCCACTGCCTGACAATGACTGTTCAAAACCAGCTACTATTCTGCTGCAATGACACTGGGCTGGATATTGCAAGAAAAAAACCAGGCATCCGTTCTCTCAAGTCCAACTATAACCAGGCTTCTTCCTTAGCCCTCTATCACACATCAGTTTCCGTATATCTGCTGCATCGTCCCAATTACCCTCCACAGTCAATACACTGGATAGCAGTATATATGTCGCTGGATCATTAGGCCAGAGCTCTAGAAGCTTTTTTGCAGAACGTGCAGCAATCTCTCTATTTCCATGAACCAGACTAGCACTAAGAAGAGCTTTATAGACTGAGGGCGCTGGTACTATAGGCATACTATTAATGAAGGCTTCCGCCTCATTAAGATACCCAGCTCGACCAAAAGTATCTACAAGACTGGCATAATGCTCTACTTTAAGGGGTTCTAGCAAAATATCACTTTTCATGGCGTCAAAATACTCAATTCCCTTATCCACAAAACCAACATGGCTACAAGCACACAACACAGCAAGGAAGGTAGAACTATTCGGCTTGATTTCAGTTTTTCTCATTTGTTCAAACAATTCCACAGCCTCTCTGCCATACCCATGATGAGCAAATGCTGTTAGAAGTGCATTCCATGAGATCACATCATGTTCCTCCATGAACCAAAAGACCCTCTTTGAATCACCGATGGCTCCACATCTCGCATACATGGAAACAAGCCCGTTTTGAACATTCAAGTGTGAAATATAGCCAGTTCTGTGAATGAGAGCATGCATTGCCTTTCCCTCTTCAAGAAATGAACTATTCCCAATTGCTCCTACCACGCTTGTTAACGTGTAAGAGTCTATATCAATACCAGCCTGCTTCATTTCATGGAAACATCTGAGAGCTTCCTCATGACGCCCTAATTTAGAGTAACCAGCAATGACTGCATTCCAAGCTATATTGTCACAGGTAATAACAACTGAGCACACCTTCTTGAAGTCCTCTAAACTACTACTACACTTTGAATACACGGTGACCAGTGTAGCTGCTATATACACATTAGACTCTAAACCTAATTGAATTATACAACAATGAACTTGCAAGCAATAACTTAAACAATCAGGACCAGAAAATGAACTTAGCAAGCTGTTATAGGTTACACAATTTGGCCTGAGATCCTGACGCACCATTTCTTTAACCAAAGCCATTGCTTCATCAGGTTTTTCAATCTGTGAATACCCAGTAACCATAGAAGTCCAAGTAATTACATTCCTATTCACCATATGATCAAAAACCAGCCTGGAATCATCAACATCGCCACACTTTGAGTACATATCAACCAAGCTCGTTCCCACAACAACATTATAACCCAATCCAGTTTTCAAAATTAGCCCATGAACCTGAGTCCCGACTTCTCTGTCCTCTAATTGCGAGCAACCTGCCAGACAACTCGAAACACTAAACGCTGACACATTTATAGCAGCTTTTAACATCTTGATAAACAATTCAATAGCTATTTTCGGACAATTGACAGCCAAATACCCGGAAAGCAACGAATTCCACGTAACAACAGTTCTTTGAGGCATTTGATCAAACAATACTCGTGCACTTGAAATTTCGCCGCATTTGGCGTACATATCAACGACAGCACTACAAATGTACACGTTTGAAATAAAACCCAATTTGAGAATAGTTGAGTGGGCTTGAATGCCCAAATGGAAAGAACCGGATTTGGCACAAAAGGACACGATTTTGTTGAGAAAGTAAGGATTACATAGAGAGCCATGTCTCGTGAATTCAGCAATGAGATCAGAATCAACTGGGCTTGATGTGTTCTGGTTGTTGTTGAAGGTGCGGCTGTTACTGAGTTCCTTATGGTGGTTGTGGCTTGTTAAAGCGCGGGAAAGCAGGTGGTTGGCGGGTTTGGATACTTTCAGTTTCCGTAGGGGAGAAGCGGAAGAACACAAGCTCATTGCCTTCGTTCGTTCAAATGTGAAATGAAAGCCCAGCTGATTTTCAGGTTCAGGTCAGTCTGTCTGTATCTATCCATCTTCCAGCCCATAATCCTTTTCCGTCTGATTTGCGTCCTGATCCGAGTTTTTCCTAAGCGATGACTTTTACGTTTCCTGAAGATTTTCTTTCTTTTTCTCTTTTTCTTTTTCTTTTACTTTTTTCTTTTCCAAGTCCAGACTATTTTTGGATAACTTTCATTAAAATGTCATCTAAAATTTCAATAATTTTGCTATTTTAAGTTTTTTAAAATACAACATCCATCTATTTCTCGAGATAAAATTTTCTATTACTACGTACTCTATAAATCTTGTCAACAAAAAAAAATAATTAAGAAAAATATTAACATTAAAATTTTAAATTAAAATTATCCAAATTATCTTTAGAGCTAAAAATAAAACATTTTAAACAAAAAACTTTAAAATACAAAATATTGGTTTCATTTCTAACTTAACTTTGGTATTAAGTTAACATGATTTAAAACATAACAAGTTATATTTATATTAAATAGATTATATTTTTTTTTCAAGATATATTTGAGACTATTTTTTTTATGTTTAGATAATATTAATATTCTACTCATAAGATATTAACAGGATTGAGTTTTTGTGTTATTTCTACCTTTGAGTAAAATGAATACATAATTTTTTATATCCTAAAGAATTAATATAAATACTTGAATTGTTTATATAGAATTTTATATAGAATTTGATTATGTTTTTTGATAATTCTTATATTATTATTTATTCTTTGTTTATGATTAAGCATGATCATTTATGAAAATTAAATATTTGATATGAACCATTACATACATTTAAATTGATAGCTTCTCATTTAATTAGTGTCATAAATTGAGTCTTGATTTATGAATTTATCGTGTTATTATGATATAAACATATATCATGTCAATCAAAATATTCATGCTAACAGGGTAGTACTAGTTTTTATACACATTAATTTAAACCCTAATTAATCGGGGGAGTCATTAACTTGTGATGATTGATTATCTCACAGTACAAAGCGTCATGCTCATTACATTTTAATTTTCTAATGAGCTTTATCTTATGATATTCTTGTTATGGTCTATTTGAAAAACTTTCATATAAGAACTTAAAGTCTTATTTGTATATATATTTCTAATTATTGTGTTACCTCATATATGTATATTGAGTATTAGTTACCTATTAAGTTATTGAACTCACCTTCTTAATATTTTTCTTTTCAGACTTATAGCTTGTTAACAGGTTATTATAGAAATACTTATTCTTTTTTATGATTAAGCATGATCACTTTATTGTTATTTATAATTTGTACAATTAACCTCCCTGTGGTTCGACCCCGATCTTGCTGGGTTATTTATTACTTCGACACTCCT